GCCAGAGAACTAGGGTGACACTTGACTAGCAAGTCACCAGCTAGGGCACCTAAGGGAGTGCTTGTGCCACTAGTCCCCAACCCTAGGCAGTGCAGCTTGTAGCAATGAAAATGACTCCTTCTTTTACTAAGGAGAGGAAATTGAACCGTAAGGAGAACTTTGTTTTGCATCTTGGATACCAGCTCAGCTACCGTAGGATAGGGTACTGGGCAGAGTCATGAGGCTCCCCTTCCATGCCTGACTCATGGATAACATTTCGAGACACAAACTGGGCCAAAAAGAACCACGCTGTCTTGAAAAGAAGGACCCAGTTTTGACAAGATTCATCACCTGGAAACTCAAGAGCCCTGGAATAACTAGCCGTGATACCTAGGTGGTACTCCCTGGACCTTGGACTCTAAGATGTGCTGACTTCAGGTATAACTAAGAACATTACCAGCTGTGGTGGCTACATTGAACGAGTCCTTGTGTTTGAGAATAGCAGAGGGAAAAGTAAAGGGGACTTTGTCTTATACCTCAGGTTCCAGCTTGGCCACAGTACAGTAGAGCAACAAGCAATCTTCTGAGGTCCCAAAGTCTGGGCCTAGGCTTTTAGACAGCATTTCTAGGCCTGCCCTGGGTCAAAGGGGACCCCACTGCCCTGAGGAGTGAATCCCATATCTTACAGCATTCATCACAAGCTAACTGAAGAGCCCTTGAGATTTAAGTAAACATCAGCAGTGGTCTGACAGAAACCCCCATGGGCCAGTGGTGGTGGTGGCCACAGGAAGAGATTCCCCTGACTCTAGCAAAGGAAGGGAATAATGGGAAGAACTTTGTATTATCTTTTTAGTGTCAGCTTAGCCATTGTAGAATAGAATATCAGGAAACTTCTAATTTTTTTACTCTAATCCCTGGCTCCCAGATAGCATCTCTGGACCTACCAAAGGCATAAGGGAACTTGCTGCCATGAAGGGAAGGCTGGCTTCACCACTTACTGATCAGAGATTCCTAGAGCTTTGAGTGAACATAGGTGGTACCCAGGCCATGGTTACAGTGGGTCTTGGGTAAGACCCAGTGCTCTTCTGGCTTCAGGTCTGACCTAGCCAATCCCAGTGGTGGGGGCCATATGGGTGCTTGCATTACCACACCTCTAGTTCCAGGGGACTCAACATAGAGAGAGATACTCCATTTGTTTGGGAGAAAGTAAGGGGAAAGAACAAGAGTCTCTTCCGGGTAATTCAGAGAATTTTTCTGGGTCATATACAAGACTACCAAGGTGTTACCTCTATGAGTCTGCAAAAACCACAGCATTATTGGGCTTGAGACCCATGTCCCTTCAAATGCCTGGAGGACCTTCTCAACAGGGATTGGCACAAACAAACCCGGACTGTAAAGGCTGCAATAAATGTCTAACTCTTCAATACCCAGACACTGATGAACATTTCTAAGCATCAAATCCTCGAGAAAAAAATGGCCTTAAAAAATGAACTAAATAAGACAGCAGGGACCAATCCTGAAGAAATTTATATATGTGACCTTTCAGACAGATAATTCAAAACAGCTGTGCTGAGGAGACTTAAAGAAATTCAAGATAACACAGAGAAGAAATTTGGAATTCTATCAGATAAATTTAACAAGGACATCAAAATATTTTTTAAAACTCAAGCCGAAATTCTAGAGTTGAAAAATGCAATCAACACACTGAAGAATGCATCAGATTCTCTTAATAGCAGAATTGATCAAGTGGAAGAAAGAATTAGTGATCTTGAAGACAGGCTGTTTGAAAATATGCAGTCAGAGAAGACAAAAGAAAAAGTAATTAAAAAAAAAACAAAGCACACCTGAAAAATCTAGAAAATAGACAAGTAAATCTAAAAGTTATTGACTTTAAAGAAGAGGTAAAAAAAGAGTTAGGGTAGAAAGTTTAGTAAAAAGAATAATAACAAAGAATTAACCAAACTTAGAGAAAGATGCCAACATTCAAGTACAAGGAGGTTATAGAACACCAAGCAGATTTGACCCAAATAAAACTAACTCAATGTATGTAATAAGCAAACTCCCAAAGTTCAGGGTTAAAGAAAGGATTGTAAAAGCAGAAAAAGAAGAAAACATACAATGGAGTGCCAATACATCTGGCAGCAGACTTCAGTGGAAACTTTACAGGCCTGGAGAGAGTGGCATGTCATATTTAAAGTGCTAAAGGAAAGGTACTTTTACCCTAGAATAGTATATCCCATGAAAATATTATTCAAACAGTAAAGATAAGAATACCTTCCCAGGCAAATGAAAGCTAGCAGATTTCATCAACACCAGATCTGTCCTACAAGAAATGCTAAACAGTGCTCTTGTTCTGAAAGAAAAGGATGTTAATCAGCAAGAAGAAATCAACTGAAGGTACAAAACTCCCTGGTAATAATAAACACAAAGAAAAACAAAGACTATCATAACACTGGAATTATGGTGTATAAACTACTTTTATCTTAATTAAAAAGACCAAATGATGAATCAATCAAAAATAATAACTAAAACAACTTTTCAAAACAGACTGCACAATAAGAAATAAACAGAAACAACCAAAAGTAAAAAGCAGGGAGAGAAAGTTAAAGTGTAGAGTTTTACTTAGTTTCCTTTTTGTGTGCTTGTTTATGCAATCAGTGTTAAATTACAATCAGTTTAAAATAATGGGTTATAAGACAATATTTGCAAGCTTCACAGTAACCTCAAATCAAAAAACACAATGGGTGTTCAAAAAGTATACAATAAATAAACAAAAAAAAATAAGAAGCAATAAATTAAACTATAGGATAAGAGAAAATTGCCTCCACTAAAAGGAGGACAGGAAGAAAGAAAAGAGCTGAAAAATATAACAAAATGACAGGAGTAAATTCCTACTTGTCAATAATAACATCTAAAGTAAATGGACTGCAGCCTGGGCAACATAGTGAGACGCTATCTCTACTAAAAAAAAAAAAAATAGCTGTGTACAGTGTTGCATGCCTATGTTTCCAGCTACTAGGGAGGCTGAAGTAGGAGGATCACTTGAGCCTGGTGGAGGTTGTAGTCAGCCAAGATCATGCCACTGTACCTCAGCCTGGGTGACAGAGAGAGAGCCTGTCTCATAAAAATAAATGTAAGAAAGTCAATAGACTAAACTCTCCAATAGAAAAAGACAGAGTGGCTAAATGGATGAGAAAACAGAACCAATTGATCTGTTGCATACAAGAAACATACTTTACCTATAAAGAACACTATAAACTAAAAATAAAGAGATTAAAAAACATATTCCCTACCAATGGAAACAACAACAACAAAAAAAAGCAGGAGTAGCTATACTTAAATCAGAGAAAACAGATTTCAAGACAGAAACTGTAAGAAGAGAGAGACCAAGAAAGTCATTATATAATGATAAATGGACTGATCAAGCATGAATATATAATGATAGTAAATATATATTTACTTGACACTGGAGCACCCAGATATATAAAGTGAATATTATTAGTGCTAAAAAGAGAGATAAGCCTCAATGCAATAATAGCTGGAGACATCAAGAACCCACTTTCAGCATTAGACAGATCACCTAGACAGAAAATCGACAAGGAAATATTGATTTGATCTGCATTATAGAACAAATTGATCTAATAGATATTTACAAAAAAAATTACTCAAAACTGCAGAATATGCATTCTCTTCTGCACATGGATTATTGTCAAAGATAGATCATATGTTAGGTCACCAAACAAGTCTTAAAATATTCCAAAAATTGAAATAATATCTAGCAACTTCTCTGACCACAATGGAATAAAAATTGAAATAAACAATAAGAGAAATTTTGGAAACTCTACAAACACATGGAAATTGCAGAATAGGCTACTGTATAACCAGTAGGTCAATGAAGAAATTAGGAAGAACATTTAAAAATCTTGACACAAATAATAATGGAAACACCACATACCAAAACCTAAGGGATACTGAAGAAGTATTAAAAAGGAAATATATAGCTGTGTCTACATCAAAAAAGAAGAAAAGCTACCAAAAAAATGCATCTTAAGGAACTAGAAAAGCAAAAGAAAACTGAACCCAAAATTAGTAGAAGAAAAGAAACAAAAAATATCAGAGCAGAAAAAATAAATTTAAAATGAAAAAAATTCAGAAGATCAATTAAAAAGCTGTTTTTGGAAAAGGTATACAAAAGTGACAAACTTTTAGCCAGATTAATGAAGAATAAAAAATAAAAAGGGAGTAGACCCAAATTAAAAAAAAAAGTAGAGATGTAACAGGAGACATTACAACCACTACTGCAGAACTTGAAGGGATCATTAGTGAACAACTATTATGAACAACTATATGCCAATAAATTGGAAAATCTGGAGGAAATGGACAAATTCCTAGACACATACAACCTGCCAAAATTGAACCATGAAGAAATCCAAAATTTGAACAAACAATAACAAATAATGAGATCAAAACCATAATAAAAAATATCTAAGCAAAGAATAAACTTGGAACCCAATGGCTTAACTGCTGAATTCTACCAACCCTTTAAAGAGGAACTAATGTCAATACTACTTAAACTATTGTAAAAAACAGAAGGAGAGAATACTTCCAAACTAATTCTACAAAGTCAGTATTACTCCAATACCAAGACCAGACAAGGACACATCAAAAAAAAGAAATCTACAGGCCAAAATATGTGATGACTATTGATGTAAAAATTGTCAACAAGATAACAGCAAACTTAATTTATCAGTACATTAAAGAGATTGTTCACGATGACCAAGCAGGATTTATGTCAGAGATGCAAGGATAGTTTAAGATATGCAAATAAATCAATGTGATACGTGATATAAAAAGAATGGAGGAGAAAAACTATATGTTTATTTCAATTGATACTGAAAAAGAATTTTGATAAAATTCAATAGCCCTTTATGATAAAATGATAAAAAAATGTGGGCATAAAGAAACATACCTCAACATAATTAAAGCCCTATATAATACATGCACAACTAGCATCATACTGTATGGGGGAAAAGTAAAAGCCTTTCCTCTAAGATCTAAAACACAAAGAAAGTTGATGCCAACTTTCACCACTGTTATCCAACATAGTATTGGAAGTCCTAGCTAAAGCAGTCAAGAGAAAGAAATAAAAGGCATTTAAATTAGAAAGGTAGAAGTCAAACTATCTTTGTTTCCAGACAATATGCTCTTATATATGGAAAAACCTAAACACTTCACCAAATAACTGTTAGACTGGTAAACAAATTCAGTAAAGTTGCAGGATACAAAAATCAACACACAAAAATTGTTAGCACTGATATATGTCAACAGTGAACAATCTGAAAAATAAGTAAAAATGTAGTTCCATTCACAATAGCCACAAATAAAATAAAACACCGAGGAATGAACTTAAAGCAGTTAAAGATATCTACAATGAAAACTGTAAAACATGATAAAATAAATTGGACACAAAAATATTTTAAAAATCCATGTTTATGAACTGGAAGAAACAATCCTATTAAAATCACCATACTACTCAAAGCAATCTACAAATTCGATGCAATCCCTATCAAAATACCAGTGACATTCTTCACAGAAATAGAAAGAACAATTCCAAAATGTATGTGTAACCACAAAGGACCCAGAATATTCAAAGCTATCACAAGTAAAAATAAAAAATAAAAACTGGAGGAATCACATTACCTGACTTCAAATTATACCACAGAGCTATAGGAACAAAAACAGCATGGTACTGGCATAAAAATAGACACACAGACCAGTAAAACAGAATAGAGAACCCAGAAATAAATCTACACATCTACACTGAACTTATTTTTGGCAAATAGGTGCCAAAGAGTAACAAATGTGCCAAGAACATACACTGGGAAAGAACAGTCTCTTCAATAAATGGTGCTGAGAAAACTAAATATCCATATGCAGAAGAATGAAACTAGACCCCTATCTCTTGCCATATACAAAAAAGAAATCAAAATGGATTAGAGACTCAAATCTAAGACTTCAAACTATGAAACAACCATAAGAAAACATTGGGAAAACTTTCCAGGACCTTGGAGTGGGCAAATATTTCTTGGGTATAATCACACGAGCACAGGCAACCAAAGCAAAAATGGATGCATGAGATCACATGAAGTTAAAAATGTGATGCATGGCAAAGGAATCAATCAACAAAGTGATGTGATAGCCCACTGAATCAGAGAACATATTTGCAATCTACCCACCTGACAAGGTATTAGCAACCAGAATACATAAAGACCTCTAAAAACTCTATAGAAAATACCAAATAATTTGATCAAAAATGGGCAAAATATTTGAATAGACGTTTCTCAAAAGAAGTTATGCAAATGGCAAACAGGCAAGCAACAGGGTGCTCAACATCACTGATCATCAGAGAAATGCAAATCAAAACTACAAGGATACATCATTTCACCTAGTTAAAATGGCTTTTATCTAAAAGACACGCAATAACAAATGCTGACAAGAATGTGGACAAAAGGGAACTCTCATACACACCTGCAGGGAATGTGAATTAGTGTAACCATTGTGGAGAACAGTTTCAACTTTCTTCAAAAACTAAAAATAGAACTACCATATGATCCAGTGTTCTCACTACTGAGTATATGCTCAAAAGAAAGGAAATCAGTATATTGAAGAGATATCTGTACTCCCATGTTTACTGCAGCACTGTTCACAAGAGTCAATATTTGGAAGTAATGTTAGTGTTTATCAGAAAATAAATGAGTGAAGAAAATGTGGTACTTATACAAAATGGAGTACTATTCAGTCATAAATAAGAATGAGATCCAGTCATTCACAACAACATGACTGAATGCAAATGGAGGTCATTATCTTAGTGAAGTAAGACAGACACAAAACAACAATTATCAGGTTTTCTCACTTATTTATTGGAGCTGAACATTAAAACAATTGATCTCATGGAGACAGAGAATAGAAGGATGCTTATTAAAGGCTGGGAAAGGTAGTAGTGGGGAGGTGGGGATGGTTAATGGTACCAAAAAAGGTTGGAAAGAATGAATAAGACCCACTATCAGATAGCACAACAATGTGACTATAGTCAAAATAATTTAATCGTACATTTAAAAAATAACTAAAAGAGTATAAATTGACTTTTTGTAACACAAAGGATAAATACTTGAGGGGATGGATACCCCACTTTTCCTAATGTGATTATTTTGCACTGTGTGCCTGTATCAAAAATTGCATGCCTGCCTAAAATGTTTTGGTTAGGTCAACCCATAAATGTATAAACCCAGTAGGTACCCACAAATATAAAAGTTAAAAATTAATATATATATATAATATAAAAATTAAAAATAATTTTAAATAAAATTTAATTTAAAAATATTTTAAAGTCTGTCAATAAAAAATTATTAAAGATATCATAAAGTTCTTTATCAAAATATGCTTTCATAAAATTTCATTTCATTAATGAGATTAGTTCATTTTCAAATTTATTGAGGTATACATTACACATAAAACTTATCTATATTGTTTATATTTTGATGAATTTTGAAAGTTGTTTTGCAGTCACGTAATCACCTCTATAATCAAAATACAAAATGATTCCAAGCTGGGTGCAGTGGCTCATGCCTGGATTCCCAGCACTTTGGGAGGTCAAGGCAGGAAGATCACCTGAGACCAAGCGTATGAGACCAGCCTGGGCAACATAGTGAGACCTCATCTCAACAACAAAAAATATATACAAAACTTTAAAAGATACAAAGCAGTTTCATTGAAAAGTTTATTTAAGGCCATTTTAGTCTATTTTCTCCCCTGACTGCAAGGTTCAGGCCATCACTGATCTGCTTTCTGTCTCTAAAGTTTTACCTTTTCTAGAATCCCACATAAATTGAATTATATAGTACTAATTCCTATGGCTTGAATATTTGTGTCCCCTCTGGAATTCTTAGGTTGTATGTAATTTAATACCCAAAGTGATAGTCTTGAGAAGTGGGATCAAAGCCTTCCACCATGATTGTAAGTTTCCTGAGGCCTCCGAAGCCATGTGAAACTATGAGTCAATTAAACTTCTTTTCTTTATAAATTACCCAGACTCTGGTAGTTCTTTATAGCACTGTGAAAATGGACTAATACACCCAGCATAGCCATGTAAAGAATGAAAAAGAATGTATTTAGGAGAGAAATCCAAGGTTTGGCCAAGTGAATGTTTGATAAGGAGATTAGTATGGACTGAGGGAAGCCAGGTGCTATTTATCAAAACAATGGGAGAATTAGCTTTTTTAATTCAATTTAAAAAAGACAATGTCAGAATAACATCGAAGGCATTTCAGAGATCTTAGAAGTTATGCTGCTTCCCATCAGAGACCCAGAATGGTTGGTCCTTGAAGGCAGAAAAGTTGAGAGGTAAAGAGAGAAAGAGGGAGAGAGAGAGAAGGCGGGAAAGAGAGAGAGAGAACAGAACCAGGGTACCTGCATGACATGACCACAGTATTTGTTGCTGTGCACAACCTCAGGTGTTTGTTCCCCACATTCCAGCACAGAACTGCTTGGCTGCTCCTGTTATGGCTCAAAGTGGCCCAGGTGTGTCTCTAGATGCTTATTCAAAAGATGCAAGTGATGAGACTTGGTGGTGTCCACATGATGCTAATCCTACAAACACAAAGAGTGCTTGAGCTGTGGCGACATGGCTGCCTCTACCCGTATTTCAAAGGATTTCATAGAGACATGCTGCAACTATAGAGCTGCCAGAAAGTAATCTCACTAAGGCAATGCCTAGTGAGATCATGAAGGTGGCAGGGTCAGTGCAGAGAGGCTCCACTAGGGTAATACCCAGCAGAACTGTGGGGTTGGGATCACCAAAGAATCTCCACACTATAGAGCCACCAGTGTGCCACACTAGACTTAAAGAGCTTCAGGCATGAAACTCCAGACATCGAGCTCCTTTGTGGAATGAGCTAGCAAGCCATAAAGGTGGGGATCCCTGGGACCTTGGGGGTCCAACTTCTATCCCCGTGTGTCCAGGAGACAAGACATGGAATAAACAAAAATTGACCCTGGAGCCCTAAGACTTGACATTTTTCACTCTGTTGGGCTTTGTACTTATGTGGGACCAGTTACTCTCTTTTCTTGCCTGTTTCTTTCTTTTGGAACAAGAAAGTCTATCCTAAGCCTCTCCCACCATTGTATTTTGGAACTGAATAACTTATTTGATTTCACAGACTCACAGTTGGAGGGGAATTTGCCTCAGAGTGAATTGTACTTTGACTTTCATTCATTATCTCATTTACATGATACTTTGGATTTGTATTAGTCCATTTTCACACTGCTGATAAAGACATACCTGATACTGGGTAATTTATTTAAAAAAATGGTTTAATAGACTCACAGTTTCACGTGGCTGGGAAGGCATCACAATAGTGGCAGAAGGGAGAAAGGTATGTCTTACATGGAAGCAGGAATGAGGGCCACATGAAAGGGGAAAACCCTTATAAAAGTACCAGTTCTTGTGAGACTTATTCACTACCATGAGAACAGCATGGAGGAAACTGCTCCCATAATTCAATCTCAGGTTTGGAAATACCTGGATGTCTAGGCAGAAGAGTTGAGGTCCCAAACCTCAATTCTTGACCTCTGTGCACCCGCAGGTCCAACACCATGTGGAAGCTGCCAAGGTCTGGGGCTTACACCCTCTGGAGCCATGACCTGAGCTGTACCTTGGCCCCTTTTAGCCCTGGCTGGAGCAGCTAGGACACAAGCCACCAAGTCCCTAGGCTGCATACAGAAGGGAGAACCTGGATCCTGCCCACAAAACTGTATTTTTCCTCCTAGGCCTCTGGGCCTGTGATAGGAGGGGCTTCCAGGAAGGTCTCTGACATGCCCTGGAGACATTTTTCCCATTGTCTTGGTGATTAATATTTGATTCTTCATTACTTATGCAGATTCCTGCTGCAGACTTGAATTTCTCCCTTCAAAAATGGGTTTTTCTTTTCTCTTGCATTGTCAGCCTGCAGACTTTCCAAGCTTTTATGCTCTGCTGCCTCTTGAACACTTTGCTGCTTAGAAATTTCTTCCATCAGCTACCCTAAACCATCTCTCTCAAGTTCGAAGTTCCACAGATCTCTACAGCAGAGGCAAAATGCCTCAAGTCTTCAGTTCCCAACCAGCTCATCATCTCCATCTGAAACCACCTCAGACTGGACCTTATTGTCCATATCACTATCAGCATTTTGGTCAAAGCCATTCAACGGGTTTCTAGAAACTTCCAGTCTTTCCCACATTTTCCTGTCTTCTTCTGAGCCCTCTAAACTATTCTAACTTCTGCCTATTACCCAGTTCCAAAGTCACTTCCACATTTTTTGATATCTTTACAATAGCGCTCCACTCTACCATTACCAATTTACTGTATTTGTCAGTTTTCATAATGCCAATAAAGACCTACCCAAGACTGGGTAATTTATAAAGAAAAAGAAGTTTAAATGACTTACAGCTCCGTGTGGCTGAGGAAGCCTCACAATCATGGTAGAAGGTAAAATGTATGTCTTACATGGAGGCAGGCAAGAGAGAATGAGAGCCAAGCAAAAGGGGAGATGCCTTATAAAACCATCAGTTCTCATGAGACTTATTCACTACCATGAGAACAGTAGAGGGGAACTACCCCCATTATTTAATTATCTCCCATGGGGTCCCTACTACAAAATATGGAAATTATGGGAGCTACAATTCAAGATGAGGTTTGAGTGAGGATGCGGCCAAACCACATCTGGACTTGAGCTTTTGAGTTAATACTGGAATGAGTTAAAATTTGGGGTTTATGGAGACAGAATTAGGGTATTTTGTATGTAAGTAAGATAGGAATTTGTGAGGACTTGGGGTTAAATAGTCTGGTTTGAATGTTTGTTCCCACCAAAACTCATGTTGAAATTTAATTACCATTATAAATTTTTAAGAAGTGGGACCTTTAAGAGGTAGTTAGGTTATGAGGGCTCTATCTTCATGAGTAAAATTAATGCCAATATAAAAAGGCAGGCTCAGCCCCCTCTTATACTTTCTCTTTGCCCTTCCACCTTTTGCTATGTTATGACTCAGCAAGAAAGCTCTCATAAGATGCCAGCAACATGCTGTTGGACTTTCCAGTCTCCAGAATTGTGAGCTAATAAATGTATGTTTATTATAAATTATCCAGTCTGTAGTATTATCTTACAGCAACCAAAAACAGACTACTACAATAGAATTCTTAGTTTGACTTTTTCAAATTTGTAAATTATTATTTTTATTTTCTTTTCTTCCATAAGTTATTGGGGTACAGGTGGAATTTGGTTACAAAAATAATTTCTTTAGTGATGATTTGTTAGATTTTGGTGCAGCCATCACCCAAGCAGTAAACACTGCACCATATTTGTAGTCTTTTATCCCTTGCCCTCTTCCTGTCTCCCCCACAAGTCCCCAAAGTCCGCTGTATCATTCTTATGCCTTTGTGTCCCCATAGCTTAGCTTCCACATATCAGTGAGAAGATACGATGCTTGGTTTTCCATTCCTGCATTACTTCATTTAAAATAATAGTCTTCATTCTCATCCAGGTCACTGCAAATGCTGTTAATTCATTCCTTTTTATGACTGCATAGCATTCCATCATATATATGCATGTGTGTGTGTGTATGTGTGTGTGTGTATATATATATATACATATATATATATATATGTATATATATATATATATGTCACAGTTTCTGTATCCATTCATTGATTGATGGGCATTTGTGTTGGTTCCACAATTTTTCTATTTTGAATTGTGCCACTACAAACACACATGTGCAAGTTCTTTTTTGAATAATGACTTATTTTCCTCTGGGTAAATACCCAGTAGTGGGATTGCTGGATCAAATGGTAGTCATACTTTTTGTTCTTTAAGAAATTTCCACACTGTTTTCCATAGTGGATCAACTAGTTTACGTTCCCACCAGTAGGGTAGAAGTGTTCCCTGTTCACTGCATCCATGCCAAAAAATCTACCG